ATCATGAAATCAGATTATGCAACAACTGCTTTGATGCTACATACCGGATCTAATGGGAAAAAAAATTACCTTGATGTTAATTAAATATGAATGAAATTAGTGTACATAAATTTAAATTTTTATATAGTTTTGAATTTCAAATATGTATAACCGGTCTTTTATTATTGGGTTGACTACTTCTTTAAAGTCGGATACTGGTTATCGTAATTTCAATAAATTTAGAATATGTTTCCAGTAGAACAATAATGATTGATTTTTAGAGGGTATGAAAAGTATTAAATCTAAGACCTCAAAATTACCGGAGATCAAATTTAACTACTAAACCAGCCAAAGATTTTTGAATTCTGCTTATCTTCCCAAGTGTAACTTGGGTAATAACCATTTTAGAATGGAGCAATGCTACGTAAACTTAAAAAGTAACTTAAAAGAGTAATTCTATTTAGACCTAAAAATCTGATTTAATTTATTGACATAATGATGTGACTTCAACAGAACCATTAGATCAATACCAAGTTCTAATATTTGATGGGCCCCGCAGTTAATACAAATATCATAGTGTATTAAGTCAGCAAATTAGGTCAATAAATTAAGTCCCAATAGCATTGTTCTACTTAAAAATTAGATTTGACAATTACAACCATTGATTTCACTGTGGGTCCTAATATTTATTAGAATTCACTATCTATTCAATTATTAAGATTATCAAATTTAATTTTTAAATTCATCTAACATTACTCTTTTACACAGTCATTCCCATTCTCTCCTTTTTGAAGCTAGCGTGGGGGTTGACATGGGCTTACTATTTGCCTATTTGGACCTGTAAATATCGATCCTGACCCAATTATCAGCATTTTATTATGGGTTTTTTGGGTGTAATTATAATTTTTTAGACTTATTTAAGTAAAAATATATAGATAAGTTATTTACTCTATTAAGTAATGACGTCTAATAAAATTTTGTGTGGTATTTTTGCTCAAATAAGTCTAAAAAATTATACTGACTTACAAATCACCATTTTATAAGCTTACGAAGCCTAGTTTGAGACGTGTTAATGAGGCCCATGTTTAACCACACTACAGAATTGCGAAAAAATATCTAAAATTGAAGTTTGACCAACACTCGTGTAGGGGGTTTGGGACTAACGAGGCCCAACAGAAACTTATCTAAAATGGAATCCAAATTTTAGCCCGAATATCAAAATTAAGACTCAACTTTGAGTTTTAACCCGTGTTCAATTTATATATAGTCAGAATCAAACCTAAATTTTTGTCAAAATTGTGTCATTGCACAACTAAATCCGAGTTGAATCCAAATTTATCTTGAATTATTTAACCTAAGTTTAACCTAATTTTCACCTTCACAGATGAGTAGTACTCGGGTTTAAGAGTTGAAGGCAAATTCAAATTGAGGTTAAAATTGGAGCACCTTTCTATAATGAAAGCTCGGGTTGCTACCATAATAATAGCTACAATTATGAAGTGGACCCGCAGAAATTGAAGAGTTTACTAACAAAGTTGAACGGTCAAAGGTAAAGTACAAAAGCGCGGGACACCAACCCTCAAAAAGGTATGCAAAGCAAAACACCCACTTTAACAGGTCGTCTTTGCGTTTAAATCAACACTCACTAATTGTTTATACAAACATGTTAGTGTATCTTTAATTATAATTCATTATTCCATCCGCCGCACATCACCATCTTCCAAATGCATTGTCTCCACTCTACTCTATAGATAACATTCACTTCATTGAATTCAAAAAAAAAGAAAATGACAACGTTCCTACCTGGAACGATGAAAGCGATGTGGAGATGGTTTAGCCACGTGCAATGCACACCAATTATTGCACCACTGCGGATGAACAAGAGTATTACATTTCTACGTAATACCATAATATATGTTTAAACAATACAAGTATGCTTTAAACGTTCAATCATATCTAAAAACGTGTTTTGGAAATCATACATTTAAATACCTCACATTCTTTTATATTAAAAGTATAGGTTTAAACAATGATATACTAAAAAAAAAAAATAGAATAAAAATTATGATATAAAGGAATAAATTTTTTTTTAAAAAAGGTTAAATGATAACAAATGCGTAAGATAAAAGTTTCCTTTACCAACTTTTAAGGATGGTTTAATGATTGACTCTATATTTTGATAACTCAGAGATTTCAACGTCAATATCTTCCTACACTCTTAAAAGGTTAACTATTCCAGTCCTTTTTTAAAAACATACTTTAACCTAGATCAAGCCAATGTAACTAACTATTAAACTCAATAAAATAGCCGACATAAATCTAAACACCCTTTACAAAAAAAAAAAAAAAAAAAGTTTCCTCTGGCTCCTAGAATCAATATCAAGTAACATCTTTTTATATTTTTGTGTGCCTCGAGATCACTTTGGGTTAGAGAAACCATGATTGACAAAAGCTGTGCTGCTTTTTGTTTTGTGCGTGTTTACTCTTAGATTTTGATTTATTTGGCAACCCTACAATTATGACTATTTTCTCATATCAATTGTAATGTTTTTTGCATCGTGTCTTCAAATAATCATCATAAATATCACATTACTCTTAAAAAAAAAATTTGTTAGAATTATCATTGAAAGTTATCTCACCTTTTTTTTTAGAAGGTAAAAGTTGTCTGTCTTTGTTGCTGAACAATGTGAAATTTTTTTTTTTAACCCTACAAGTGAACATTTTTCGTCGAAGGCAATGTGAAACTAATATTTTTGAAATGACAATAAGAAAAATTTTAAAATTAAGGGGAAAAAGAGAGGTGGAGACTATAGTTGATGATGTCAAAGGATAATGCTCTCATATTACAAAATATAATGCTTCAATATAAAAAATGTTTAAAAACAAAAGAGAATGATATAATATACTCAACCACAAAGATACGTGTTGATAGACTGAATTTTGATTTGATTTTGAACCCGATTAAATTAATATAACTTGATATTTTTTATATCATTCATCCAAATTTACTCCCGTTCCATCTATTCTAGGTACGGAAAAGTTCGAACCACGTGAAAAATGTACAAAACTGACAGTCATCTTTATAACATGTGTACTGTCATAAAAGTCCCAACACTACAAGAGATAACAAAAGTTCTTTTGTGTACGCCGCCAACTGTATGATCGCCACTAGTGGGAATTGAACAGAGAAGATCAAGATCTTATGAGCTATGTTTGAATGCCCACTATCAAGAAGATCAAGATCTTATGTTTTTGGAAATTAAAGGGTCAAACCCACGTAGGTTCCTGTGTAATTCAATATGATAGGGTTTTGATGTTTTAATCATATTATGGATTGTTCAAAACTTATATCAAATTTAATTTTAAATTTTTTTTTGAAATTCCCAAATATGATGAATAAAAATATACATAAAAAATAAATTTCTTTGGTTCTAAATTCATATACGATTGTTCTGATACAAAATATAAGAAATTTTAATAATTCGTATATGAAATTTAAAACACCTAAATTACAAGATTTGGATCTTATAGGTTTAGAACATATCTGTATGAGCCATGATACTTGATTTTCGGATTTCTTTCGTGAAAGGGCAAGTTCTTCCTCTCATTTTTCAAAGTAATAGACGGCTCTCAATGAGACAAGCCAAATTAGGGTTATGAAGTAGAGAGAGACATAGTCTGCTATTTTTAATGAAATCTAATGAGCTCTTTTATTACGGGCCACAATTAGACTAAGGTTTACACTTAATCGTCTCAATCACATCAATTAAAAGATGTAAATAATCTCATCAAAATAGATCACTTTAATAATATTGGGCTCATCTCATTGAACTATAAATTTAACCCGCTTTCACAAACTACAAATTAACTATCAATTAATGAAAATCTAATATAGGCAAAATTCCAACAGTAACCAGCTCTGAATTAGGATGGGGAGGCAAGCAAGGTGGAATATATCATGCTTGCAACTACTGGTTTTGAATATTCTAGGATTGTTAATTTTTGTACTAAGAGATAGTAACGGAGCTTTGTGCATTATTTTCTCAAGTTTATTATTTTGAGGGTATTTTTACAACCTTGCAACAATAGGGAATGAAGTATTGTACACCATTTTTGAGAATTTTAATTTGAGTTTTAGGTTTGTAAATGAAATCTTAAGTAGTTTAATCCTGCATAAATGTCATTATTATTATTTTTTTTAAAGAAAAGATATATCTTTTAATTAGGAAAATATTTTTTTAGGGAAAGTTCACACTTTCAATGATGAAATTTTTGTCGACAATTGAATTTCCATTTCACTTCCTAGTCATTTTTTCCTACAATTTATATTAATCAATCACAAAATTTAAGACAATTATCGGTGAAAATTTTTCTTGGAAAAACCTATGCTTTTACATAGGATACCAAATTTCATCGGTAAATGTGATAATTTTACTTAGGAAACCAAATTTTGTAGATAAATATTTTCACCCACGGGCCTCTACCAACAACATTAATGTGTGGTTCATTGACATTTGCAAATTTAGTTTTTAAAATGATTAACAAAATCTACCAACAGTAGAGAGCTTGTTGACTTCATTCATATTATGCAGCAACTGCTTTGATACTACTTACTGGATTTAAGGAAAAAAAAATTGCCTTCATGTTAATATAATATCAATGAAGTCAGTGTACATAAATTTAAAAGTTTATATACTATTGAATTTCGAATATGTGTAATCGGTCTTTTATTACTGGGTCGACTATTCCTTCAAAGTCGGATATTGGTCACCGTAGTCCGAGCAATTGAAAACATGTCCCCTATATAACAATGATAATTAGCGAAAAACAACTTGATTAGTTCTAGTCTATAGCGAAAAACAACTTGAACAGTTTCCCACATGGAGATGGAATTAGAAAAAAGCCAAAAAGAGGTGACATTCTAGTCTATATCGTTAACCACGTCAATTAGTTCTATCTTAGGAGAGTCTGATGCATTAAATTTCTTTTTTGATGGCAGATTGACAGTTTGACATCACAATATGGTGATCTTGCAAAAACAGAAGGCTGCGTCAGAGCCCCGGAAGGAGGAGCTTGATAGACTGGCGGAACTCAGGAAAATTGTACCCATAGAAGAAAAGGAGATCGACAGGCTTACACAAGGTTCGAGGCAGCTTAAGGAGAAGGTGCGTGATTAAGTGAATTTATTCTAGTTTGCTTTGTTAATTTGGAGTCCAATTTACATATTGTTGGTGGCTCAATTAAACTATGTCTGTTTATAGTATGCACGTATTATGCCTTCTTGTTTTGTCAAAAATTCCCTAATGTGCGTATGATCTCTGTATTTTTAGGCTTTAGAGCTTCAGAGTAGGATAGAGACTGCAGGCGGGGAAAGGTTAAAAGCCCAAAAGTTGAAGGTTAACAAGATTCAGTCGGTGAGTGTATTCTGAATATGAAATACACCAGGTACTACAAATAACAGTTCCACTTATTTATGGTCCCCACTTGTCAGGACATTGATAAAAACAGCACGGGAGTCAACCGTTGCAGGGTTCAAATAGAAACAGGTCATAAAACAATCAAGAAATTAATGAAGGCGATTGAGGAATCAAAGAAGGAGAGAGAGCGACTGCTTATGGAGATGGAGAATTTACTCTCTACCTTCAAAGAGATCGAACAAAAGGCATTTACAGTTCAGGAGAACTATAAAAAACCACAGGAGGTTATATTTGTTCATTTATGTTCTTGACACCTATGATGTTGAACCAGTTGCGAGAGTTGCTTTTGTGATCGATGCATTTTTTTTCTCTTCTTCTTTGTGTAGTTAATTGATCAACACAAAGATGTGCTGGATAGAGCAAAGCGTGACTATGAACAACTGAAGAAAACTGTTAATTGATCAACACAAAGAAGGCAAGTCTTTCTTGTTCTTATAATTTCTATTTTATTTCTTCCTGAAGTGCTTTGAATTATTTATCATTTGTCAACCACATTGGTTTCAATTTTCAGGTTAGATGAGTTCATGGCAGGATTTAACACAATATCTTTGAAGCTGAAGGAAATGTATCAGGGCTTTTAATTCATTGATTCTGAATCCCTCTCTCTCCCCACCACCGAAAGCCCCTATTAGCAGGCTATTAACCCTCTGTAAATTTCTTAATTGTTCTTGTTTGCGATTTGGGATTTTGTTGGATGAATGATCGGAACATGCATGTACAACTTCTCATGTTGATGAAATTTCTGTCTTGGCATTGAGGATGCTATTTCTTATTGGTGCCATTGCACTAAATTTAGTTCTGTTTTTTCTGAGAGAGCCTTTACCTTGTTCTCTTCTAACTGCCCCAAATGCTATACTTAAATTTTGTGCATTTGCAATATGGATGATGCTTGTATTTGAGATTTCTCACGGTTGTTGCATCAAGCTTTTACACTTTGCATGTTCTTTCTATGCTCCGTTTTGAGTTGATTGCAATGTTTATGATCTTGGAACAGATGATCACACTTGGAGGAGATGCAGAACTTGAGCTGGTGGACTCTTTGGATCCTTTCTCTGAAGGTGTTGTTTTCAGTGTTAGGCCACCTAAGAAGAGCTGGAAGAATATTGCAATTTAACTGGTGGTGAAAAGGTATTCTCTCAAAAACATCGATTGCTTTCATATATTTTTCCTCTTACTGTTGGCTCTAAAAACAATTTGCCCACTATTATTTCCATCATTACTGCTTTTTGACCCGTGATGTTTGGTTGTTGCGTTCAGACTCTCAGCTCATTATCACTTGTTTTTGCACTCCACCACTACAAACCCACACCGCTTTATGTAATGGATGAGATTGATGCTGCTCTGGGTATATTTATTTACTGTAAAACATATCTTTTTGCCCAAAAGATTCCATTCTTTACCACATGTTTATATCATTAATCTTCACTTGTTTGTCTGGTTTACGTGGTTTGACAAATTTTAAAAATGTTTCCATTGTGGGGCACTATGTGAAACACCGTACAAAGGATGCACAGTTTATCATCATAAGGCAGATTTGATGCAATTGTGGGTTATTATGGAGTTATAATCGGTGTTATTACTAATTTCTTCTGCATACCCACCTGCAGCCTTAGAAACAATATGTTCGAGTTGGCAGATCGACTTGTTGGAATTTATAAAACTGGTAATTGCACCAAGAGCATTACTATAAACCCAGGGAGTTTTGTGGTTTGCCATAAAGCTGCTTAATGGGGGCATTTCAAGCATTGTAAGTTCAGTTCAATGTCATGCTTATTTACTTGTCAGAATTTGCCTTTGCCTGCAGATTGTGAATGTCAATTGGATGCTTATTGACATATATAATCAGATGTATGTATATTGTTTTTTAAAATCTTCCTTCACAATTATTGCGATGTATATAATTGAGAGTATTGCATTGTCGTTCAATTGGTCAAACTGTCCGATGAGGATTGATATGTTTCAGTTTTGCCTTTTCTCTGTGCTCGAGAAAATATTGGCTACCTCTATTGTGCTGTGAAGTTGAATTGAGAATGCACAATTCTGTGTCAACATTGTTATGAATCTGTACTTTTTTATTTATCTGAGTGATTAAACAATAGCATATACATATTTCTTATGTAATTGCAACAAGATCTAGTATGGTGTGCTAATTTAACTGCCCAGTAGTATCTAGTAAAAGTTGTACACGTATCAATATCTCCTTGTGTGTGGTCATGTGTGATAACAATATTTTGCTGAAACAAATTAGCCATTGCATTTTTCATTCTCCATTCTGCAGCTGTGATTCAGACAAATGCCATGTTTGCCAATCTGGCACCAAGATCTGTATATGCAAGACAACTTTATACATTGATAAGGATATGGTACTAAAACCATAACAAGCGCGATTTTTACCTGTATATGCTTTACAGAAGCTGTGTAAAGCATTTAAGGCCATCTAGATTTGGTGGGTTTTTCTGACAATTTATCTTTGAAGTGGTACAATTGTTACAGTGAATTGAGAGGATCTTTATCCACAATCTGCTCATCATCACTCCTCATTTGACGAAGTTTGAATGACAATAGACTTGGTGAAATTGCATTGATTGGCTTGTCCGTTCCCCGAATAAAATTGTACGACCATGCACCAAGTAGTGTGCCTGATACTGGTCCGACCAGGTATACCCAAATTCCCTTGTAGTATGAACTGGCTAGAGCAGGGCCTATGGTCCTTGCTGGGTTCATTGATCCTCCTGATATAGGTCTGGAGATGTACCTAGACAACTGGTTAGTGGCATTATTGTCTGAGTTATGTAAATGCTCATTTCAAGTTTAGGATCTCTGATTTGGATTTTTTGTGTCCGTGCCAGAGCCTAATTTTCTAACGAGGTAAACTGATCCAAGCAGTTTTACTTTATCTAGGTTTGGTTCAATTTTAGTTTGTTTAGGTTCATTAAAACTCTAAAATGAACTGAATTTGATTTGATTTTGAAGTATGTTTTGAAGCTAGTAATTTGATTAGATTTTTAAGTATGTTTTCAGGGTAGTAGAATTTCATGAACGTGTTCTTGAGTAAATATTGGGTGTAATGATGATACTACGTCATCATTGACACGTGATATTATCATTTAATAATAAATTTACACAAGAATAAGGTAAATTTTACTTGAGTGGTTATTAATGACATGGAAGGATGGTTTATTATAATATGTGAGATCTATTTGTTACGTTTTTATTGGATGGTAATATTACATAACAATGATGACGTAGTGTAATTGTTACACTTAAATCTTTTTTGGAAAATGTTATTTGGACTTAAAATGTAGACTTTATCAATTACAATCATTGAATAAGTAGTGAGTCTCACTAAATGTTGAGATCTATAGCGAAATCAATGACAATGATTGATTAAATTTATATTTTAAATCCATGTAATGTTGCTTAATATTTTTTTGTTCCTTAGATTGAGTAGACTCAAATTGGTTTATTGTTGGCTAATCTTTATCCAAAAAGTAAAAAACTTCAAACTTGTGTTCAAATTGCCATGGACTATCAATACTTGGTCATTATTTAGATTTTTTTATGATTTGATTATATAAAGTTTAAGATTTGAATTGTTGAATTTTTTCTCTTGGGAAATTGAGCCAAGTGTTGGTTAGAATGTTCACAAGCTTTAGTCAAATCGAGATTGACCAAAGCTTGACAATTGAATTTAGTTGTTCATAATTGACTGAATTTAAGAATATTCGAACATAATATTTGACAAGTTCGACTTAATTAGTTGCATTGATGGTCATAATTGTCATTTTTTTTTGGTGTATATTGGTATTTTTGGCTTACCCGGCCAAGATGGACGTTATGCATACGGCAGAACCCACTGCCATACCTGCCAGCTCCCCTACCTGTGAACATGGCAAATCTTAGTTGTGGTGCAAATGTAAATACACAATGTATGGGATGCTGAACTTGAGAATTAAAAATCTGAGGGGTCCAATTGATTCTCTTACAGCTTTGGTGTCAGTTGCCACTGCTGAAGCGATGAACATCATAGAAAAAGTTACCACAATCTCCATGATCAAAGCTTGTAACTCCGTTCCAGAAGGTGAAGTGGTGCCTAAATTTTTTATTGGGTGAAGTAATTTGCGCAGGGTAAATGAGGCCGAAATGGCTCCTGTTAGTTGGGCTGCAGCATAGAGAGGAACCTACAAAGGAGCACATTGGTATTTTGATCATTTAATAATTCCTGTTTTTGCATAAAACGATATGATAATATATGATCTGATTGAAATAAACGACATTCAATGCAAAAATGGCAAAACATGATTCATATAAACGATTTCAAATTAAGTAACATTGTAATAATTTCGTTTGGGTTGAGTTTTTATTAGTCCACCAAGAAGGGCCCATAGGGTGTACACAAATGAATAGTAGGTGGGCGTCATTGAAACCAATTCACATATTCTATATAATAAAACAGGAGTGGTTTTGAATTTTATTCCAATCATATTTTTTTTTTCAAAATCATTATCAATCACTTATTTCACTCATCATCCCTTTGTCAGACTCAAACGTTAAATCACATCACTCATTTATATCACATATTTAATCATTTATATATTTTCTCTTTAAAAATATCACACCACTCATTTCTATCATATATTTAATTATTTAATATTTAATTAATTTGTAGTTAATATATTTTAAAAAAATTTAATATAGTAAGATCGATTTTTTGACGCTCGAAATTTATATTTTATCGTGTCTTCAGGCACGAGTTATGACTAGTATATCTAAATAACAGTTGTCTCGGTAGATGTTATGCTGTTTTTGTTACAGTGTATGTGTTACACTGTTTTTGTTATACTATTATAGAAATCGGATATTAACAAATTTTGAAATTCAAACAAGTGATATATTCCAAAATAAACAGAATATTAAAATTCTTCTATAAAACTAGTAGTAATAAATATTTAATGCATAAATATAATTTAAAAATAAAATTACTTTCTAAAAAAAAATACGCATGAATTAAGGTGTATTAAAGATAAGAGATTTTGAATTAAATGACCCTAAAATTCAACGCTTAATAAATGTGTTGTTAAAGTTTTTAAAAAAAAAAATTTTACAAAATAGGCATGTACGTCTTTGTATCTAAACTATATATTTTTTTCCAAAATATTTTGTTCCATCTACTTTTTTTACAATTATATCTAATTAATATATTTCAAAAGACCCATTAATATTAGACCTTGTTCATAGCTTTCTTTTTCCATAAAAGGGTAAATCTATTCACAGTTACTTTAAAGGACCACGTTTCGGGGATATTCGAACCCTTGTACATTTGTTCCAGTGATAGTTGAAGCATAGCCATATTTGACACCCTGTGAACTTAATTCATGTGGTCCAGTGATAGACATATGACCTGTCAACGTTGTGGACATCGTCGAGCTAATCAAATTTTGTACATGTTTTGTTATGTCGTTTTATTTTCATTAAATTAGAATGAATAAGGATCACTGAAACTCAATTTAAAATAAAAAACTAAGAACTTATATGGCATGATTTTTGTATGTCTGGAATATATCATAACTTGTTGGGGTATTTTTTTTTTTTTTTTATGTACAAAATACAAGATACGATTAGTCACATAGCAACTCTATTTGACCTTTTTCGGTATTTTTCAACAAAGCCAAAAATAGGTGAAATTATCATTTATGTAAACTCAATTAACATTGTTAACTCTTATTATTATTATTATTTTCTGAAACAAGACAGTTGGGTTCTACAATTTGTCCAATCATGGGTCCGATTGAGTCACAACATTATTCTTCTTTTTAGATATCATGTGCCTATCACCATTACCAGATACGCATGATTTTAATTTATCTCTATTTTTTGTCACATATTTAACGAATTAGATCTACCAAGATATCATAGTAACATGATGAATCCAATTTTCTTTCTTTTTTCTCGACAAAGGTGGACCCGGACTTGAATTTTAATGTATTTTCATGAAATGNATTTGTCCAATCATGGGTCCGATTGAGTCACAACATTATTCTTCTTTTTAGATATCATGTGCCTATCACCATTACCAGATACGCATGATTTTAATTTATCTCTATTTTTTGTCAC